GGTTCTCACTTCTTCCTAGACTCCCATCGAGGTACAGAAACACTGAATAGTATCGGGTTCTTGCACTTTTCGACATTTCTGTACTGAATCTTTCTGCTCCATTTTCGAAACAAATCTTGGCTTCTACTATACGACTTGATAATTTAGCTTTTTGATAATCTAACGGCTTCAGGAGGTTTACGAGTCACCATGCTTTTGCCATGTAAACGAAACGGATGCGAGGCTTAACATCACGATCAGCATGCGATTGAAGGATATGGCCGCAGAAGGTAGGTACGATGCTCATGCATTGTTGTTTTCTACTTGAACTGGTTTTGTTCTACGGAAGCAGTATCCTGTCTCAGGCTGCTTGCACACCGAGCAAAATTAAATCTGTGGTTCAGAAGATCACTTGAGCTCACAACGATTATGAGTAACCATAACAGTAACAACAAAGGACTGGATTGAACGTTGAGCTCCATCTGGTACTGAACCGACTAATGTAGGGCACTTAAAGGCACGCTCCGGGATTAAGCAAGCTCACCTGTTCCATCCCCGAGCGCGGTAGACAGGCGGACGAGCGTTGATGTCGCGCCCCTTTTGGCTTGAAAGTGCGCGACAAACGCGCTGGAAGCTCGCTCACCCGCAATCCACACCCTATTCCGCAAGCCCCACCTTCGCCGTCGCTGCCACGTTGGCGCTGCGAGAAGAGCGCGGCCGCAGCTGCGGCAGTGTTAGATTGCGACTCAATGTCGCGCATCCTATTTGTGGTGTGAAGGGTCGTTGGACGTACCCAATAATAAACATCGCCAAAGGAGGGGTAACAATAAACAAGAGTTAATATGCTATAAAAAAGAATTCAAAAAAATCATAAAAAGACAGGGATTTCAGGAAAAAGGATAGGGAGCCGTCCATTTGCGCCGAAATTCTGTGTCCGTATCGATTTCTGGCCCAAAGTCAACAACTGGAACTGGGGCAACTGTAGTTTTTCGCACGTCAAACTCGTCCAAGCCCCGCCATTCTCCATACCAAGGTGGAATTCGGATGTAAAGGGCTTT